ACTGCAGCAAAACCTCTCATAAGCAGACCCTCCTGAGCCATAATCTCTTCATAGGCGTCAATCGGGGTCATTAGGTGATGGCCTTTTAAACAAATGCAATGGCTCAACCTCATCTTCAAAAGATGAGACTAATGCATCTCTTTATATAGACTGAGTCCATAATTCACGAGCCGCTATAACATTATTATCTGCTTTGTCTTGTCAAAGTGAGGGGAGTTAAATATCTGCTATAGCAGTCATTAGTTTAAAACCCATTTACCTTCCTCTCCCCCTCTCTGATCTGAGATATGATAAAGCCCCAATTAATAATTCAGCCTAATTAAACACTCATATTTAAAGAGGGCTAGGTCGCCGTATGCTTACTAGCTATTAATTGTTCCTGGCAGAGCTGCATTAGTTTTCAGATTTCTCAGTCACACATATCTATTTTCTTTCAGGCAGATGAGGTACAGACTGCAGGTCGACACTGTTGCACACTGACGAATAAAGAAACTGCAACAAAATTAGATAATTGTGTTTTCGACAAATGGACGGAGCCCGCTACACAATGGCAAAAGTCAAAGCCAAGTGCGCTTCAGTCTTTTCTGAACCTGACAACTGCACTTAAGGTTCGGGAACAGAACGCCACGCTGAGGTGACATTTACTTGTGACTAATGCTTTATGTGTGAAAGTGGTAATAACAGCCTGCTTGCTTGTTTTGGTTAAGCTAATTTACTCAGATAACATAGGAAGTCATATTTTACAGACACCTTAATGTGATAGAATATTGTAAAGTAATAGAACGGATGTACGATGCATTGCCTTTTTCACAAGGTACGAAGTAAACCAATGTTCCTGCACATTAGCTAACCAAATCAGGGACAGCAGCAAGGATCACTATGATAGTCAGTCAAATTACCTTTCCTGTCAAGACCTTGCTTCTTTTAATGACCTCACAAAATAAAAACTGGAGCTTTGAGGCTAATCTATAGGCGAATGCACAACTAAGCATTGACCGAATTCACTTTAGAGCTACTGTTCAAAGGTTTTTTTAATTTTTATATGTTCGTGTTTTAAGGTTCTTATGCTCAACAAAGCCCGTATTTATTTGATCAAAAATACAATAAAAAAGTTATTTTGTGAATTATTATTATTATTATTATTGTTGTTGTTGTTGTTGTTGTTGTTGTTTAATTTTAAATAAAAATATTTTAATATATTTAAAATATTTAATATATTAACATTTTAATATATTTTAAAATTTAAATTATTCCTGTGATGGCAAAGCTGAAGTTTCAGAAGTCTTTACTTAAGCCTTCAGTGTCACATGATCCTTCAGAAATCATTTTAATATGATCAGTTGGTGCTCAGGAAACTTTATTATTATTATTATTATTATTGACACAGTGATTAATACAGTGACCAAGTTATTATTATTATTATTATTATTATTAACTTTATTATTATTATTATTATTATTATTATTATTATTATCCATGGTAAAAACAGTTGTGCTGAATAAAAGTTTGCAGAAACTAACTAACTAACTAACTAACTAAACTTACTATTATTGTTTTTATAGTACTTCACCAGGGTCTCTGGGAACACAAACATTAAAAAAAATAATAATAATAATAATAAAAATAATCTCCACAGAAGATGAGGGTTATTCCATCTGCATTTTCCCTTTGCACTAAATGGTTGCACATAGGTTGAAATGACCTTGTCGATGCAGATGGAGACTTGATTGTTATTTTTAATCCAACATCATCTGTTTATTCAATTATGTAGTGTATTCAATTTACTGCACTAGTAATTTAAAAGATACATCTAGCATAGCATTGCTTAAACTACAATGGATTTCTAGTTCCTACACTCTCAGAAAAAAAAGTACAAAAGCTGTCACTGGGGCGGTACCTTTTCAAAAGGCACACCTTTGTACCTAAACAGTCCATATTGGTACCTTTAAGGTACATATTAGTACCTAAATTGTACATATTAGTACCTAAAAGGTACAAAAGTGTACCTTTTGAAAAGGTACTGCCCCAGTGACTTCTGAGAGTGTAGTTTTGGATGAAACAGGGACAGGATTTGGAGGTTAAATGTTGAAATTAAGCAGTACTTTGAGCAAATGTTAACAGAGCTGCACTGTCTTAATTCACCTACACTCTTAAAAATAAAGGTTCCAAAAGAGGGTTCCTCTTCAGGAACTCGAGCTGCGTTGGAGTACGCTTCGGGAACGCCCTTCAGCGTGACCCAGCGGTCTCCGGCGAGCGCTTCTCTCAGTTACCGCCCGGAAACGTAGCGGTACTAAGAGGCTCGCGACCTCCCCGGAAGTCTCTAGAGCAGCTAGTACGGTCGTGCCCTGCCGGTTAGCCGCTTCAGGGCACCGAGCTAGCTGCTCTAGGCGCACCAGAGGCCAGTCTC